AGAAAACCCTTTTCACCTTCGAATTTGGCACAAAAACCCGATAATTTTATTGACTTTTTACCGAAAGCTTTTGTAAAACGTTTTCTCCAACCATAACAATTTTTTCTGGATTTTTTCCCAAAAATATTTCCCCGAACAGAACAAGCGAAAGTTTATAATCAATTATTTCGAAAACTCGTCACCTTTGCCGCTGTGAAAAATTTGACTTTAAAATTCCGGTTTCTTTACTTTCAGGTCAATACTTCTAAGCAAAACTCTCTCTAATCACGTTTTACTGTACAATTCTGGCAAACTGAGAGTATTTGATGCAAGAAAATGAAGGGATCGATTTTACAAGTAAACTCGTCGTCTTTATACTTTGGTCCTCTTTATCGTCTTTTTGGAATACCCGTTTTACCATTGAATTTGGCACAAAAACCAACCAAAGTTCTCTTGGTTTTTTTCGAAAAAATTACAGTTTTTCCAAAAAACGCCCAGAGAAAGCAAAATCACATAATCAACTATATGGAAAACTCGCCACTCATCGCCCTGAAGAATTTTCAAGTTTCTTCAAAATTTCCGACATTTTCCCGTTTTAGACCAAATATTTGCAAGCAATCGTTTCGCCCGAAAAAGCATCTCAGTAAATTTTTAGGAGTTGGCGCAGTGCTGCGCAAATGGCTTGGTGCGCCTGTTCTGTTGCTGGTAAAACGTAGCGAGTTATAACTCATTAACTCAAAGAGCGGCAACAAGTCAACACAGTGTTACCCAGTTGTGGTGCAGAGTGAGATTTTTTCGCAAAACTCAAGAGTTTAGAATGCGATGTTCAGCAATCGATGTTTGCAGAAGAACATGAAGACATCGATGGATGGCAATTAATATTTGCCTGAATCGGTGGGCGGCCACATCAGATACCGAGCGTGTCTCCATATTATTCACTGTTTAATTTATCCTCAGCCTCTTTTGTTTCGCACCCACGCCAATGACTCCTTTTCCAACCATTATATTGTAATAATGTGTTAATATGATTTTCTATTATTGTTATTCCGCCCATGCACTCGGTTGCGTTTCCATACATATGCGACTCATACGACAAGCTTTTCGTAATGTTATATCCATCTACTGTTGCACTCGATCAGATCAACTGCACCGACCGGTCAATTCCCGCACCAATATTGACACAAACAGAATATAAACATAATAAATAAATGCCAGTGTAGGTGCATAAATCGAGCCACAATCTCGATATTTATGTTGGTGAGCGTTTACTTACGTTTGTTCCGTTTCTATCAGGCGCGTTTTCACATGCAATACGCGAAAACAAAAGAGTCAAAAAATAAAAGCCGAGAAAAGAGGCATTGAATTTTATTTTAAAAGCCCTGGATGTGTATGCCGAGAGAGACTTTATCGGATTGTTTGCCGGCAACTGGGGAATCCAGCCAGTACAATATGTTATTTATCGATTACGCATTAAAATCGCGACACAGAAAAAAATTCAGCATTATGAGGCCCCTTGTAATTGCAAAGCTCCAGTAGAGTGCAGACTCCCAAAGAACTTCTACTGCTCATAATTTGCATGTAAAAATCTACAGTTGAGTCCGCAAGCAAAAATAGATGTTATTTATGTAGTTTTCAAGATCACAAAAGGACTCCCAGCAATTTGCAATGGTTTTTCGGCTAACTTTTTGCCAAGCTCTATGAATCAAATTGACTGCATCTAAGAGATTTATAGAAAATGTTTCATTTTTATCGATCGCCTCTAACGTTTTCATAAGATGAATTTTTCACCGGCAGACTCTCCAACAATTTTTCCGCTACTGATATTATGCCTCTTCTTGAAACGCTCTACGCAACTTCTAGAACAAACAAACTCTTTATTTTTGATTTTACTCCCTATTTCACTAGCATTTTCTTGCAAAACACTGCCACTTATGGGAACGTTTTCTTGTCTTTTTTGAGTAAACCACTTAAT